CACAATATTCGGGATTTAATATTCCGAAATTAGTATGTTGCAGCATAACATTTGATATTTTTTTTTTTTGATGCTTGAATAATAATGAAACTTGAAAATATTATACTATTTTACAACGTTGTAATATTTGAAATTTAATATTATGATGTAATATTGAATGCTTCGATGCTTCAACGTTTGTTGCATTTCATTTCTTCGAACAAACACACGCATCTATATTGTAATATAGATATTGTGTTATAATAATTTAGATAATTTAGATTTAGATAATTAGACGGCTATTGTTATCAGTAAATTTAGAACTGATCTGAAAATGAATATATGAAAGTTATTTATTATTATCACAAATGTATATTCAAAGAAAGACTGAAATTAATTGTCAAACATGGCCCCGCTAAATATCGAAATATATATCTACTTGTATTAAATACTTTACAGTGTACTTTATAGTATGGTATAGTATGTATATATACAGGGTGGGTCTTAATAAAACATCGAAATATAGGAGAAAGCTAATTTCATTAAACCTCGAATTAGAAACTTATTCATGACAAGGGTTGCTCTGCAAAACAGAAATATGTAATTGAAAAAATTACGAGTTTCAGCCCACTCTGTATAGATTTATTTCAGGCTCGAGCAATCGAGTTAGCATTGATCGAACAATGCCAAAATATTTGACAGGAAAACACGCGGTAAACATTGGGGAATCTGCGTGATCTTCGTGAATATTTTCACGAACCACGCGTAAATGTGTTGCTCGAGTGGAAGCAGCGCTACGAACGCCGGTTAATATTAACAGGTCGGCGACCGTGATTCCTTGGACGGGTTAACTCGGACGATGGGGGGGAAAAAAGGCAGGATCACGAGGGAGAGGAGGGAGGAGGGAGGGAGGGAGGGAGGGAAAAGGAAAAGGTAAAACGGTGACTGAGTATGGCCCGAGTTGGCCAGGCACATCCTGAGGCAGCAAAGTGTGACCAGTCTTGGCCACACTATCGATTCCACCTGGCTGTTCTCTTCCGATTGTTCGGGCCAGTTCATGCCTGGTATCGGGACAGGGACGCGTACTTACAATGGCACACGGTTTCTCTCCTGTCCTGTCGTTAACCCGAACTCTTCTATTATCGTCGTTCTTGCTCTTGTTACATTATTACTATTATCATTCCTTATTGTGAAACTATAGTTCCTATTAACGTTACGAGATCGGCGAGGGAATCGTTTTCAACTTGCGTCGAGTCACGTTGCCGCCCCCATTGGCGTCGCGGTTCCCCAGAACACTGAAGCAGAGCCATCTGCAGGGTCGACATCAGAAACAAGAGAGGACAATGGACGACGCGAGATTTCGTTTCGAGAGTTAGCAGGGAAGTTTAATATCAGAGATGTTGAAGTGCAATGTATAGACACTGTAAAAATACATCTCTGCTTATTGAATATCACTTACCAGTTGATATTTTATATTACAATAATGTAAAGATATTAATGGTAAAAATGAAAGGAAGCTCTAGGTATAAATATAGGGTTGATATTCTATGTACAGTTCTATATATGCAACAATAAAGGACACAAGATTTTATTTGCCATTCTGTGCAAATTATCCGCAATTGTAAATTCATGAAATTAAAATGTACAAAGTAGGAAAAGGTTGTAAAATGATAAAGCTTTTGTTCGTGCATGTTCTTAAATGTTCAAATTTCTAAAAATATGTGCTGTTGAGTAAATACATACATAGAATGACCAATCTGTAATTTCCTAGCCTGATACAATGATGTATTATTATAGATTCGAACGATTCAAAATATTCAGAATATCCCGAATCGAGGAAGTAAATTTATTAAAAAAAAAGAGTATCTTTACAAGTGCATCGCATGGTGGCAAATTATTCTTTTATTTCTAGCGAAATTTCAAGGTATCACGTTTAGATTCAAAATAAGTGTTATCCGTATTTCATATTACAGAATTATATATTTTTCATCTTCGCGTAACTTTCAAATTGCACGATCCACTTACAAATCCATTAATTCGTCCGATACAAAATTCCACGCATTACTCGCATCGATATTGAACCTCCGAGATCAAACCATCGAGCGCAATTCCCCAACAAAGAGGAAAAAGTATTTCATTACATCACTAATCTTCGAGATTGCACAAACGCTGTACTGTTAGAATCTCATCCTCCAACCCGATCAACCAAAAACAAGCAAGCTAATTAAACACACATACACACACGCGTCAGACACGCAATTATATTGGCTGGTTAGAAAAGAAGTTATCTGTTGGATAAACCGATTGGTAATCGACAATGCCCTGATCGTGGCTCGTTAATAAACGCGGGCGGTGCATTAATTAAGCGCGAAAGTAGTTCAATTTCGACGAGACGAGCAGGAAGTGCTCTGGCGGGGGAGAGGGGGGAAGGGAAGGGAAGGGAAGGGTTGGTTAAAGGATGAATTCTCGGCGCCAATGGATGATGCGGCCAATAATATCAGAACGTATCGCGTGCTGTGCGCTTAATGCGGAATACCGAGCGGATTAGAGATGATCCAACTGCCTCTCCCCGTTTCTCAGGCGTGGCTGAGCAAATACAAAAGCGGCATCGAGACGCGGAATAAGCGGTCTTCTCTCCGAGAGACAGACCACCTTCCGGTCCATCGGAGGGACGTAAGAAATGCCCGCTCGCAAACTAGAGAGAGAGAGAGAGAGAGAGAGAGAGAGAGATTTCTTCGAGATATGAACCCGTAACAATTTCGAGTCACGCACCGTTGAAAATGGTTTTGCCAAGTTAGGGGGACTTTTTTTTCTTTTCCCACCGAGTAAACTCGCGAACAATCGAGTACGGCAATCCTGGCTGAGGTATCAATGGAATTACTTTTTTCCGACATTAAGTGTCTCAAGAAATGCAATGTAATTTGCGATAATGTTTACTATGTACTGAATCTAATAACAGGTTCGTAAAGCCTAATAGCGTAATGAATTCAATAATGTTCAACAATGTCTAATGATACTTTTCAATATAATGAAAAAAATTCAAATTCATTACTTTAATAGTTATTACTTACTACTTCACTAGTTCATTACTTTGATATTTATTAAAATAAAATTGAAATTCAATATGTTTCATAAATATGTTAGACATTCTATTATTATTATTATATTATTGTTATTATTATTATATTTAATAATATTATATATTATTATTATGTTATTATATTATTATATGTTATGTATTATTATACTATTATATATTTATTTACTACTATACTATTATAATAAATACATATATATATATATATATATATAGTTAAGAATTTATGTATGTATAATCAGTCACAAAAGTATGCATACAAATTTCAAGTATTTAAAAAGAACCAAGAATTGCAATCATTTCAGAGACACTGGTTTGTTCACTAATTAAAATTATAAATTTCTGAAGAACAATGATATACAGTCGTTTAGTGGAGAACACACTAGTATCGTTGCTTCAATTATTACACGTGTACGTAATATTGTTAATTATTAACATACACGCTGATAGGTATTCTTAGAGGAAAATTATGAATTAATTTTTCTCAATTATTCGTGAAAACGTGACGCACGAATGAATTCTTCTTCAATTGTGTGTGGCAATGTATTATTTCTTTAAAAAAAAAACCAAAGCGAAGGTCAAAGCTGCATCCCGATCTCGTGAATACCGTAAAGTTCGATTAATGATTAAAACCGCTATCAGAGCGGAATATGCAAATCAGTTGATAAGAACCGCATCATAATGCAGAAGAACGTATTAGCTTCGTTAAACCGTGTCTAATGAGTCACGTTTACATGGGATAACGAGGCCTCAAATGCAATTTCACAAAAAGAAAGCATCGAATCGTATATGTTTAACTCACTGTATATGACGTTCGAAACATCTTCGGGAATTTCGCGCATTTCTTGCAAACGGTTTATCGATAATAGTTAATTGCTGCTACCGATATCGTTTATCCTCGAGAATTTCGCACACATTGTTACAAACTTTTCCAATCCGTCGAGCTATTCGCTGCTTGTAAAAATGTTGTGAATAATTTTCATCTCTTGGGATTTCAGTGTTGAAACTTATTCCTCGAATCTTTTGACATATTGAATTTTATTTCTTCTTTATTCGTTGACATTCCTTTTCTCGGCGAATTTCCTTATTAATCTTATTAGGCGTGAGATTTTTCTCATTCAATTGTTATTAATTGGCTTTGGCTTTTCAAACTGTTGTATAATAATTGAAGAGGATATATTAAATATATTTACGAATATTTTTGTTGCTTTTATCATCGTCACAATTATTGAAAAATTCATTCATTTCTGTGACATATAAAAATTGAAAGTAGAAAACGCACTTATCAAATATCATTTTGAATATTTTATTTTTATGTTTCGTAATGAAATCGAGCACAAACGACGAATTTCTGATGTTTATTATTTAACGATTGCGTTGAAATTTCTCTACATCTCTGATACGAAAAAAAAAATAATAATAATAATGTTCACCTGTTCGAGAATAACTGTATTAATAACAGTATTTCTTCTGAAACCTTAACTTTGAATTCTGAATTATTGCACCTACAAATGCGTGGATACCTAATTACACTAAATCTTTCTTCCCATAGAACACTGGTTGGTTCACTCGCCCGACCGAAAAAAATTCAAAACATTCGAGACGAAATCACATAAAAACCTGTCAAAACGAGTTACTCGCTTCGGCTACATTCTACCAGATCTTCGAACGCTAATTCCCCAAGGATTCCTCGGATTACACCTCAATTTTACCAACCGTAAATTTATCCCGACAGCGTTTATATTCTCTTATCTGTTCCCGCGGTTCGATAAACTCCACTAAATCCCGTAATATCCGACGATTTTTATTTCGCCTCACTCAGTTCGATTTTATCCGATTGGGCCCCTCGCTTAAAAAATAAATAAATAATGCCGACTATTGCACGCTGATCCGCGCGTCGATTAATTTAGACACGCTCGCAATCGCTGATTAAGCATGTCTGAGATGCTCCTATCGTCAAGTATGGTTAACAATCGTGCTTATCAATTCACCTGGAACCGAGTATTCTGTCAACCGTGGCGAAAGATCGAGAGTTTTAATATATCTGTTTTCTTTTGAATTATAGATTACACGGGTGACGATTGAATGGAAAATAATAGAGCAAAGTGAGCAATCACTATGGTCTAATGAACGAAGTAACGAAAAATCATTGAGATTCAATACTAACATTTATCGCTAACATAAAATTTATCAAATAGATAAATGTACTAACATTTGTATTAAATGTATTCTGAGCAACTTTGTTTAATATTTGTATTAAATATTAAACGAAGTTTAATTATACATCAAGGTTTAAGGGTTCGAATCTTCAAGATTCTTTTCGATCAACTTAGAAACGTTTAAATTTCGAGAACAAGAGAATCTTCAATTTTCTGTTCGTAATATGGTGTAAAAATATCTTCGAAGTGAATTAGTTCATGATGCTCTAGATTGTTGTGTGACTCTCTTTTCTTTGAAATAATCGATAATTTTCCATCAACTATATGAGCACTTTTGTGACTTGAAATTAAATTATTAATTCTATATCATTTTACATTATGTGCATTACACAAATATATTGCTCAAATCCATTTGCCTCCCTGATTCTTCATCGAATGTATATTTTAACTGACTTTATAAATTATATAATTATTATAATTTCGTATCATATATATCGTATAGATATATATTATTGAAACCCATATAATTAATTCCTATAACCGACATTCTGTGCCGAAATTATAATTAATTCATTGTACGACTACGATTTTGTGACTGGCTGTATACGCAAATTAAAAGTTTATCACTTATTAATACAGGGGATCGCATCACGTACAAGGTACGATATATTATTCAAGCCCATCCATCTATCTGCCTTAGTTAATTCCTACAATCAACATCCCCTTGTTATACTGAAAATCATTTCAAACAAAGTAAAGTTTCGCAACGCAGATCGAACGGGGGGAGTTAATAATCACTCGGCCGTAAGAAAGAATTTCAAATCGTGCGGGGCAGAACTGCACTCGCTGTTGCACAAATTACACGTTTTACTACTACCTGCAGAATTCGTTAGGCGACTAGAACGTTGAGGACGTGCGAGAGAAGCACGATCGAGATATCACGGCGGTGATTCGCAATTTATAGTCGATATAAAAGCCGCGAACCGATCGTACAAATACGCCGCGCGCCGTATCGCGCTATATCAACTTTTTCCATCGTTTTTCCACGATCTCTGCAATCAGGCGTTAGTTACGACCGCGAGGATGCTGTTTCGCTGCCCGTCCTTTCAGAAAAACCAATCAGACGTCGTTAAGGCGCGAGGATTGTGCAATCGAGTGTTAGAGAACATCGAGAGCTCCACATTCGAGCAGCTCTTTACATCATGCACTTCACTTGTGTGTTCACGTATGAAGTGTTAAGTGCTAGACACGCTGTATTTTCAGAAACAAGAATTTCTGTAATTTTATAAATTTCAAAATGCAACGTCTAACTTAGTGAAAATGTACGCGTATATATTATTCCTGAGATTTTTAACACCAAGTGTTAATTTTTTCTAAGATTAATTTTTGCTGTACATTTGCTACATATTGTTTAAATAATTTCAAAAACTGTTTCTGATAGTTTTTAAAATGAAGTATTTATTTCTTTTAAAATTATCGTATCTCTGTTGTGGGATTATTAGATTTCACATATACACTACACACGTGTAAGTTGCTTCAAATTTCTAAATATGCAACCTCTAACATCAAGTAGATATTAATCCGTTCTAAAATTGTATTTCTGTTGTAGAATTATTATATTTATGCATATATATATATAT